TCTATCTACAGGTACTCTGGTGAGGTGACTGGCTAACGAAAAAGCAACTCTACCTAGTTATCTTCCTTCCACCAAACACTGAGGCTCCAATGTGTTCACAGTGCTAACCATACATCCACAATATCCCCTTTCCTCCAACCTCCCCAAAGTCAGATAGATTACTCTTTCCTGATATTCTCCTCCCTCTACCAAACTCCTTTTCCAGGTAGCCCTCCCAGCCACCTTAGCCTAGCTACCACGCATATAGATTTCTTTCCACCTATACTGTCTGTTCTGTTGATCAGGTTCCCTGATTCAAATATCCTAGTCTTATTTTCTGCTAATAACCTAACAGGAAACTTCTATTGAATGTAACTTTGGGTATCAGTTTCCTTATATGTAAAAATCAATGTGTTAACCTAACAGCTGTTTCCACTTCTTAACTTTCAAATTAGCAGGCACTTTTCATCTCCCCAAGCTCTGACAACAATCATGGGGGAAAATGTAAAGCCTCCCCCAGCTCTCCCAGGCAGAGTTAGTCACTTGTTCCCCTGGACTTCCTACAGCTTTTTGTAAATATATACAATACCTTTATTTTTTTTTCTTTTAGTAACAAGAATACAATACCTTTATTACAGCATTTATCACAAAGTTTTGAGAAAGTGTATACCTTAGAGGCTGAGGTAGAGGTAAGGAGAATCAGACTGCCTGAGTTCAAACTCTAGTTCTCCTTAATGACTGTAAGAATTAAATGAATAAAATGTTTATAATAGTGCCTGCCACATAGTAAGTATTTTTAAAAATTACTGTTAATCTTATTGTATTAATCTACCCTATTAAACATTGAGTTCCAATTTTAACTAGATCTCTGTGCCCTTCTCATTTTCCTGAGTATCCTGTTTATGTTTTCTTCCAGGCCATTTACCACAAAATAATATATTTACTTTCATGTTCATTTTCTGACTTCCTAACAAGACTATAACTTTTGTGAAGGAGGGAAAATGTCTATTTTGTTCATCCTTAAATCCCCACAGAAAACATACATGGTACCTGGCACAGAGCAGTCACTCAAATACTTTTTGGATAAACAGAACATGAGCTGCAACTGTTTGCTGTTTATTGAATCAATTAACCTAGCTAAAGGTGATTGTCAAAGCTGAGGCCTGGAAGCAGATGATCTCCTAGCTGGCCCAGAATTCCTGTGTCCCTTTGTCCAACCCCTGAGTATTGGCTTCAGCCAAGCTCCACCCACCTGCTCTTGGCCTCAGTGTGGGGAGCCACCCTCAGCTAAAATTAGCATAGCTACCAAGATGGCCAGGCCATTTATAGACTTGGAGGCAGCAACAACTAGCTGGGTGGGCAGGCAGGGCTCTGGCTTGCCACTCCATCAGGCTTGACTGAGAAGCTAGCCTGCACTCTACACAATGTTTTGATGCCTATCCTCCAAGGCCTTATTCTTGTGATACTGAACCAAACCACAGTTCCTGATTAGAGACTCTTAAAACTTCCAACAGTGACAGCCATGAGGTCATTCACACATACTCTACAGAAAACACTTCTGAGTTTCTGGATGCAATGAACCTATAGACTAAGGGAGTATTGTTTCAGCCCAGCTTCAGAAATGCAGGCCCAGCCGGGCATAGTGGTACAAGCCTGTAGTCCCAGCACTCAGGAGGTTGAGGCAAGAGGACTGCCAGGAGTTCGAGGCCAGCCTGGGCTACATAGTGACTTCAAGATAGCCTGAACTATATAGCAAGACCCTGTCTCAAAAAAATAAGTTAGAAATGCAGGCTCCAGAGCAGTACATCTAGGCAGACCTTTACTGAGAAAGTGACAGCATGACTGGTGTGCAAGTACTAAAAAGCCCAAAGCAACGAGTGTGGGCTCCCCACTGCCCATAAGAAAACCTTCTAGTAGAACACCTGCTTTCATTACAGGGTCAGGATTTTAACAATGTAGTTTATGCATGGGAAAGACATAAGCATTTTAACTAAAATTTCAAAATCAAATCTGATAACTGCCTAAAAGAGACATACGGGTGCATATACTCTAAATTAAATTTTCTGGGCCCCTTCAATATACTCTCCAGAAGAGATATAAGTAGCTTTTTGACCCTCAGCTACAGTCACCAGAGCCTGCTCAATTGCCAGAAGGAGAGCGACATTCTCTGGGCCCACCAGGCACTCCTTTTACAGGATAGGACCTGAGAAAAATGGAATAAGTCTAGGATTTAAGCATCAAAAGACCTGCTAATAAGACCAAACACAGGACCAAGTTTATTCACCTTTAAAAACAGGATGTATTATCCTGCCCTGAATTCTAGTAGGGTTATTGTGAGACGTTATAAGAAAAGTAGCTGTGTGGTTATAACACACAAATTATAGAGAACACACAAATTTATTAGATATGTTGACTCTGACTTAGAAAAGTGGTAGCTTTAAAAGCAAGTCAGAGCCAAGTATGATGATACACGCCTGAAATCTCCACAGTCAGGAAGCTGAGGCAGGATGATCACTACAAATTCAAGGCCAGCCTGAACTACATAGTAAGACTCTGGCTCAAAAAATAATAAAAAAAAAAAAAGCAAGAAAAATTCCTATTTTCTAGGGATATAGAGGGGCTGGAAAGGCTGAAAGAGTTCCTGGTTACAAAGTTTCTCACCCAACTCTGACAGAGCCCTACCTACGAGCTACCCCTTCACAAAAATAAGTCATTGAGTTAGAGATAAAGTCTCAGACAAATCTAAGAAGAGAACCTAACAGAACAATAGTGCTGGGACACTCACAGTCCTAAAAACCATAGTCACTCATACTACCTATGATCCGCCCCCCTCTGTCTTTCTGAGACTTTTCTCCCTAGATCCACTATTATTATGACAACAGAAGACAATTTCTGATATGAAAGAAGAAAAGGCCAAAGCAGAAACTCTGGGGGTATAGTCATAACCAGGCCTCTGAAATACATTATGTGGATAGCTGTCTCCATAAGCTCAAGTCACAAGGCAGTCCTCCTCTGAGAGGCTAGAATGCCTCAGTGGGACAAAACCCCACAAAAACAAAACAACAACCTGAGAGCGAGCTAATGCCTAAAACTCAAAATTTTATCCCTTCACCTTTCGTCTAAAATATAGAACATTCTCTCTCAAAAATACTCATTTCAGGGCCAGGGATTTAATTCAGTGGTTCTGCCGCCTGCCTGGCAAGCGCAAGGACTGGAGTTCCAACCCTGGTACCAAAAAAAAAATTCATTTCACCAGGCATGGTAGCACATGCCTGTAATCCTCACACTCAGGAGACTGAGACAGGAGGATCATTGTGAGTTTGAGGCCAGCCTGAACTACACAGCAAGATCCTGTCTTAACCCCCCCAAAACACATAAAAAAAATACTCACTTCACATCAGGCACTTATATTTTAAAGTTGGGGCCAACGGAGGAAGACATTATTAATTATAAACAGGGATGTTACTGGGACATTAAAGATACTCCTTAATTCTTCTTTGTAGTTCAGCCAGACTTTTCTTTCACAGTCCATTGAAAGACAATCATTTTTAATTTTTCATTTTTACTAGTACCTGTTTTCAGTACATAATTATTATATTGAGTATGAGGTGTGGGTACATATACATAATATATGTTAATTCTTTTTATAGCCCCCAGGGGCCAGGGAACTTTCCTATGAAGAATCAGGGTTAATTTGTAAGAAGGACCTTTGGCAGGGGCTGGAGATTGAACCCAGGGGCTTTATACTAAACTACATCTCTAACCTATTTTTTATTTTTTATTTTGAGACAGGGTCTTGCTAAACAACTAAGCTGATAAGGCTGGGCTCAGATATTCCTGCCTCAGCCTCCCAGAATGGTAGGATTATAGACTGTGTCATTATACCAAGCTAAGAAAGACCTATCTTTAAAGCAAAAGCCAGGCTACCATACTTGTACAAAAGGTAGCATCAGCCTCATTTAGAAACCAACTCTTAGGGCATTTGAAATAACACTCAGCCCAGTGAAGAAAGGGGGTTGCCCAAGAAAAGGTCTACTACTAATGCCAGCCTCTGGATCTATCCATGAGATTCCCAACCACCATGACCTATATTTCCTTTTCCAATTTGTGTCAGTAAGCGCCCAGTGATCCATCTTCTCATTTGAGCTTATCTATCTTCAAAACAAGTCAACTATAAACTCTCCCCTTCTTCAGACGACAGCTTTGGGTAGATCAAAATGACAGAATGAGAAAAGTGGGAAAAGAGAACTGATTTCCTCCTAAGCTTTATGTAAAAAAAGGTGTTCCTTTACTGCAATAGTACACTAGGGCCCCTGCTACCTGACAAGACTCCACAACTGCATAGCAAAAACCAGGACAGAGTAAAAAAAAGATACATAACATAGAATCCCTATCCTCATCAGTCAGAAGAAACAGAATAAGTCAGCAAGTGGTCCCAGGAATTATATTATGCCAGTGTCAAGAAGAGGACGCTTAGCTCCCTGCTGGCAAATAAGAGTTCATCTACAGACTTGCCTTCATATTTCAAAGAGGCACAGCTAGGAGACAGCAAATTACCTAAGGGAAGGGAGGGACTAAGGTTCTCACGGTGGTTGGAATAGAAAGGCACACCTGAACGCCAGGCCATCAGGCAACAGAGCTAGCCCAGCCCTGATTTTCCCTGCCCAGTCCAAGTGGCCTCAACTCCCTTTTTACTGCCAAGAACTGAACCTGCCTAAAGCAATGGACTTATCTGCGCAAGCCATTCTTCCAGAGAAGTTCTCAGATGGGGACCTACCTCAATGATCTGAAAGTTCAAGGTACCCCAACAAAAGACATCCTACGCAGGGATGAGGAAAGTTGTTCAGGAGAGCTAGAAATAATAGCCATGACTCCGGAACAGAAAGAACTGGGACTAGACAGCACCACGTGTAGATTCTCCACCAACCTCAAGTGTACAACCCTACATTGATTTGCCCACTTCCAAGACGCTCAGTTCCAAGTCAAAAGCCCCCTCCCCGCTCAGTCCAGCAAGACCTTACCTGCTGCAGTGGACTCCTCCGAAGCAGCCCCGGAGCCGGTTCCTGTCGCCTTCTCACTGTGACTGTGGCTGAGGCTCTGGCCCTGATGCAGGAGGAGCCCCCAGAGGAGCCACAGAGCAAGACGGGCACACACATCCATGACTCTAGGTCTCAGTCAACATGCGCCTGAGGTGGGCACCTTGGGATTCCAGGGGCAAAGCCGGGAACCCGGGAGTGCAGCCGAAGGTCCTCAGACAAGATGCCCTCCGGACGCCGCAGCTGTCCAGCCACCTGCGGGCTTGCCTCCTCAGGCAGCCAAAGGTCAAGTACTCCAAGTTTGGGCGCGGGAAGATGGCCAGCCCCTCCGGTGCAACAGCGGGTCCTCCCGGGCCGCAGCGGCCTGAACTCGGGCCGCTTCCGGAGAGTTTGGGCAGGGTAGCTGCAGGGCCGCTGTCAGCTCCCCAGCCGGCTACACCCCTGCAGGAGGAGGCGGGCAGGATCTCTCGCGGGCAGAGGTGGGGGAGGGAGGGAAGGGAGGAGAGAAGGAGGGCACCTGACCTCGCCCAGCCGAGGAGGAGGAGGAGGAGGAGG